GCCTCTCCTCATAGGACTTGTGCTCAAGTCCCTTCACCAGCCTCGTTGCTCTTCTCTGGACCCGCTCCAGCACCTCAATATCCTTCCTGAACTGAGGGGCCCAGAGCTGAACACAATACTCAAGGTGTGGCCTCACCAACGCAGAGTACAGGGGAAGGATCACTTCCCTGCTCCTGCTGGCCACACTGGAATCAGTAATAGAGTAGAAATGGTCATGGAGAGACCTACTGGAGGAAAACACAGTTAGTGAAAGTCCAGGTTCATCAGCTGAATGAGTAATCTGAGTTGGAGAACAGCATTAGTGCTTGTGCTGAGGGATCAATAAAAAGGAGAGTGCTGGTTCATTTAAAAGGCTCAGGCAGGCCTAACTGCCACGAAAGAAAATGAAACCTGTATCCTTGTTTCTGAGTCGGGTGTCTTTTGTGAGTTATACAGCCTCCTAAAGCATTGGCAGCTTGTCTCAGTGCTGTGTATTTGCGGTCAGTGCTGGAGCTTCTGATGCAGATGGGTGGAAATTGTGTTGTATTTAGTGTTGTAAATGTTTGCTTCCACAGAACCCTACTTTATCCCTCTCTGGACAGCAAAATTCAAGCAGCAAAATACCATGCTTTTATTATGGAGACTGAGATAATCAATGCATTTGAAAGTGTCAGTACTGAGAAATTTCTCTGATTTAAAGTTTTGACTTCAATCCTTTATCAGTCTCTTAGCTGTTCATGCCAGAGGGAGTTATTAATCCAATCCCTTTCCTGCCAAGTTCCACGAGCATTTATTGGCCTCTGCTGTCATCAGGAGCAGAGTTTGTAGGAATATGTACTCTTCTTTCCGTGTTCCTCATCATCACAATCTCAAGGCGTCTCTGCTGCTTACTTCTCCCTCAAATAAGGCAGCCTTGGGCATGTGTTACCCTGCTCTGACCTTTAAGGAAGGGACAGAATGGCCCACCTTGAACTTGCTCACAAAGTAGCATGTTTCTTTTCCACAACAAGCAGGAAAAGCTGCTTTTCTCTCCAAGGAGAAATGAAATCTGGAAAAAAAAAAAAATCAGTACAATTCACACACTGTAGGAGAAACAGAAGTAAAACAAATTCACTATTCAGGTTCCTCAGCAAGCAGACTGTTATATCCATATTTTTCAGGCATGCCATGAAAGTAGTTTCCAACATTTTCTCACACTCTGGAGAATGTTTTTAACCACTCCCTTTCCTGCCATACTGGCCCCATGCTCAGCTTTTACCTACAAACCTCATCTGGCATTGCAGGATGAGATTGGGGTAGTTGGCCCAGCTTCTGCAACTAATTGGTGACTCAACCCAATTGATTTTCCACAGGATACAAGGCAAGACTTTGAATCAGACAATTTAATATCAGTTTGTAAGAAAACCCATCATCCCTGGGTTTCTATCCTTGTTGAAGGCACAGCCATATTAGTACAGCGCAGTATCATGCAGCAACCAGCTGCAGACAGGGACCAGGTCTCTGTCCTTGCCTCCACTGGGTTTCATCCAGAAGCTCCAAGACCTTAGAGACCAAGATCTTAGTGTGCTGATGTCAAGAAGCTGCTGTGAGTGAATGCCCATTAGTTTTAGTCCCTGGTGACCTCAAAGAAAGTGGAACACAACTCATGTGGCCTTTGCAGTGTCCCTCCAAAAGAGATGAAAAGAGATGTAGAGCTCCTGTCCTTTGCTATTAATTCTGGTATGCCTTTTGCCACTATCAGATACGGATCTCTGTAGCTGTGTGGTGGCCAGCTAGGCCGTTGCCCTGATTTTGCTTTTGCCCTTTGTGTCTCATATGCAGAGAAGCAGAGGGAGCTGGCTCGGAAGGGCTCCCTGAAGAATGGCAACATGGGAAGCCCAGTGAATCAGCAGCCCAAGAAGAACAACGTGATGGCACGAACAAGGTAAAGGATTGGAAAAGTACTCATAGCTGTTCTCTAAGCTGCAGTTCCTGGGGAATTGTGGTGGCCAAGGATGATGTTCGTAGCCAGTTGCCTACTGCCAAACATGCTGCAAGAGCAGGGGTGGCTCTTCCCTGAGCTGGCAGGCCCAAGTGCCCTGTGCTGCGTTGCATTGCATGCCCTGAGAAGATGCAGGGACAGCTGAGCCCAGCACCAGCCCAGGACCAGGCAAAGGCAGCCTGGCCTAGTTAAAATCAGGAGTTTGATAGAGCTGTCTTGCAGGTTCTGGGTAGTCTCATATAACACCTAATCCTGCCAGTGGGAGAAGTACAGAGCTGCTTCATGTAACACAAACTGGCTTAGAGCTTAGTTCTGCCTTGGCTGCTTTTATCACAGCAGTAGTGACCCTTTCACCATACTGACTGATTTAATGAAGGCTTGTAAATAATATCTCTCTCTGTGCCTTGCTATACACCTCCTCCACCCTTGGAACAGCATGGTCACGCTTTACTGGAGATGCTCTGGCACGTCTCTATATGATATTATCAAACAGTGCTACAAACTGCTGTAAACAAAGACATTCCTTGATGAATACTTTTTTTTGGAGTATTTCAATTTTTTTCCACAGAAACTTCAGTACACCAATATATTACTTACCTACATCCAGAAGGGAGGAAGGCCTCTGAGACCACAGGATTACATGCTGCTAGAAAGGTGGCGGTTTTGAGTGGAGATCCTCACTTAAAATGGCAGAAGAATCTGCTGAATGCTGGGTGTTTACTGATGAAGGGGGAAATTGGCTGGGTTGCCATAATTTAAGTTGAACAGGAGCTGCAGGTCAGGGCTGTCTATACACAGAGCAACTGAGAGATGAGGTTTCATATTCACATTAATTCCTAAAACCCAAAATACTACTCATAAATCATGCCAGGACTTCACCAACTTTTATTTGTAAGCCCCTGCAATATTCGTGGAATGTGCTGCATTACTTCCTCTCTGTGTTTGGTCATTGAGACCACATAGTAGAGCCAGACCCTTCATGGCAGCAAGAAATGCAGCAACTGTTCTCAAGTGGGTTTTTCCATGCCCACTCTTCCTCCTTGTCTTCCAAATACAAGCTGGAAAGTCTTGCTTTCTTTTAGCAATAGGCTGCATGCCAGCATCCCAAGAGGGATGGTAGCAGATTTGCTAATTGAGAGATTTCGAAACAGTGAAATTAGTGGAGGAAGATGGTAAGGGAGAGAAGATGGGATAAAGACAGGTGCCTACCTGTAAAATTAGTGACTTCTCCTTGGAGAGCTTGTTGTTTCCAAGCTGCTGATGAAAAGAGGAGAGATTTGAGAAGGGAAGAGCAGAGCAGTGACACCTATTGACAAAAGATTTCAAACAGCCAGCTCAGTTTTATTCCACTTGTGAACGTCTGAGCACCTCAGAATTGTTCAGTCTGTCTTGCCACAGACAGGGCAGCATAAGGAAGGCAGAAATGCCACAAGACTGTTTAAACAGCTTTTCACAGTGTAACAGTTACAGTATAACAGGAGATATTCCAGCAGGTTGCACTGCAAAACTTCCAAGTTTCCAGGTATGCTGTTGGCTTCATTTGGTCTCTGCAGCAGAATAAGCTAACGGCATTTCCCCCTTTTCAACAACTCTCCTGTTCTCATCAAGTATTTTCCTTTGTGCAGGCAAATCACACTGTCTCTCTCAGTTCTCCACCTCCTCCTCCTTTCCCAAGGCCTCTGTTATTCTGTATTATCTCTGTGGATTTCTGACATCCAGCATCTAGTACAAGGTTGCCTTCAGCATTCAGTTCTCCCTGGGAAAAGAGCCTTAGAGGTGAAAATGGTGTATCTATAACACACTCAGTCTCCCTAACAGCAAATAAAATGTGAACAAGGTTGGGTGATGCTGCACACTTCCTGTGAGCACAGGCAGAGCCCACAACAACTCAGGATAACCTAAACTCGGATTTGTGGCATAACATGGTTCATGTTAAGTGAGCAAAACCACCAAGACAAGAAGCTTATACTGGGACAGCTGTGGACAAAAGCAGCTACCACTGCTACCTGACTTTATTCCAAGGACAGTGGGGATTGACAACAAGGTCAGTCAGAATGTGAGGGAAAGACTTAAATCGGGGGCAGAGACATCATAAGAGTTTTTGTCGGTTGCAGTAAAATTGAAGTTCAGTGTTATTTAGGAAAAAAGACATTTCTCAAGAAAAAGATGTACTGATTTTCTTTTTCATAAAGTAAATATCACCACAAAAGATTCTTCTGCTAGATCCCCTGAGAGTGCTTTGTTCACTGATGATATAATAGCAACTGTCAGTGAATATATATGGAGCAGGGACTGGAAAACTGAAGAGCAAAAATGGAAGTCAGTACTCCTGATATCTATATGGGCAAGCTGCTGCTGCCAGATCTCAGCTTCAGTTCCAGACATCTTTGCTTCTTGACTTCCTGCCTACATACTTCAGGAGCAGGACTATCCTAGTGCTGTGAGAAGGGCTATTGAATTTTGGAAGTGGATCCCATTTTCTCCAGTCACTTGGTGGAGGAGGTTGGAAATTCTGCATCAGTTTTATAATTATTTATTTATTTTACATTTCAATGAACAAAGCAAGAAATATAACTAACTGTGAATCCATATATTTGCTTTGTTATTACATTTGATACATTTTATTGTCTTTGAGCCTGCCCATTGTCAGTGCCTGCGAGGACTTTGTATTCCTAAAACTGTTAATGGCTTGCTGCAATTTTCTGAGCAGAAGCAGAAAAACACTTTCAGGAAGTTAGAGAGCCATTGGAGCATGGATGAGACAGATTATCATCTTTAGATTTGTATTTCTCAAACTCTCAGTGAAGCATCATTTTGCATCATGGTGTGTTGTTTAAGAGCATTTGGGAGAAAACCTGAGTTAACCAAGGAATGAGGAGCTTTTCTTCACTCTTACGGTTCCTATCTACTGAACAAAGAATATTATTCCGTTTGATAGGTTTGCTTAATCTTATTTTAAATATGAACCAGAGTATTTGGGAAGTTTTTTGGATGAAAGAACTCTGTTGTGAAGTAGATACCATTGTTTTAATGTATTCTATTTCACAAACTCTTTTAGACAATTAAAGGTGCAAAGTCATCCTCAGCCTTTGTAACACTATTGATGAAGTGAAATTCATTACAAAATTTACAAATTTAAGAAGTGCTAGTCTGACTGGTCTCATACACCGGGCCCAGCAGCTCATATTTCTAATACTCCTAAATTTAAGACTGAGACCTCAAAAGTGTTGTGTTGCTGGGGACCTGGATAGGGACTCAGGGAGAAAGACCACATCCCATCGCTGATTTCCAGTAATAGAATAGCAGGATCACTGAGCCTCTGCCTTCCTCTAGGAAGGTACTTATTGCTAGTGTCATGTAATCATTGCCAGGAAAAAGAAAACAACAGGAAAAGGAGCAATCTGGTATGACAAGCAGTGCTAGCCAAACAGGTTCAGCAGCATGAAGTGCAGTGTCCCAAAGGGGTTTTTTCTTCCAGGGAGGAGCATGTTCCCAAGGCATATCCAGCATCTCTCTCTGTGAAGCTACTCTAAGCTACCCAGAGACAGAGTTTGCTTCCTCTGAATTGCACCCATTTGAACATCTTCATCAGTAAGGGAGGGCTTGCAAGGAAATGACAAGGGGAAAGCCAGCTGTCATATGGCTTTTCCCTAGGTAGTTTATGCTACTGAGCTTTACTGTGTGGTTAATGGACAACATTTAATTCTTTCAGGCTCGTCGTTCCCAATAAGGGCTATTCTTCGCTAGACCAGAGTCCAGATGAGAAGCCACTGGTAGCCCTGGATACGGACAGGTATGCAAAGGGTTAGAAAGGTGATTATGCATGATGGTGTAGTCGAGTTTTCATGACAGAGGGCAGCACTGGAGCCAACTCCTGCTGAAACTGCTCTTGCTCACACTCTTTCTTCCACTGTTCCCTTTGGCCTATGCCATGACAGGCATGTATGTGTGAACAAATCAAAGGAGCTGTGAGCAAAAGAGCACTGTGATGGAAAGATCTGAGGGTCGTAGATGAAAGTTGCTCTACAGGATTCCTTGATGTAACTTCTCTCTGCCTCAGGAACAGTTTCATGGCACGAGAAAGATATGGCTAAGCAGGGAATACACGTCTAATCTAACCATTTCCTTCTTGCTGTATCTTGTCCTTCCCTGCAGTGATGATGACTTTGATATGTCCAGATATTCCTCCTCGGGATACTCATCAGCTGAGGTGAGTTATACTCTCTCCTGGCATCCTTGCCATGAATGCAAATGATAGAGCAGCCAGAAATGGCTTAGAGTGGCCTCGCCGTGCCAGAAATGGCTACACAACCAATTTACTGGTGGTGTAGACTCTGTGAGTCTGGAAGGAGCCATGGTAGAAACTGTGTCATGTTGCTTCTTTCCTTGTGATCCAGTTGTCCATACCTACACTGCCATGGCACAGGGATCTGCCCATCAACTGTTTGGACAGGTACCTTTGGCTTCACTCAGGCTTTTCCCAGTTCTGCTTAGTCCTGAAGTGTTGACCCGTGTGGTGCAAAAGCATCATCTTGTCTGTCCCAGCAGCTCAGCATCTGTATGATTGCCAAGGACACAAATAAAGGATCTGAGGGTGTGCTGTGATTTCCAGGTATTGGAGTGGTCAGGGTCACCCAGTGTGTGTTTACTTGGAGTAGGCAGAAATTCCAGGGAGGACTTGCAGATGTGAACTCTTGCCCTTTCAAAGAGAAAAGGCAGGAAGCCCAGGCTTGTTAATCCTGCATTGTTTCTGATTATACTCCCAAACTCTTTAATGAATTAGTTGCTCAGCCTCTGGCTACTGCTTCTGCAGGATCTGATTTTATATCCAGGGTACTGAGCAGCCATTCTGCACACAAGCCACTGGGAACTCTTCCCCCCTGTATCCTTTTCTGGGCAAAATACTTGTGAAACACAGGGAAACAGCCAAGAGCAGGGACCAGATCAGATGATCTGAGCCACCTCTGTGCCCTAAGGAAGTGTTGTTCATCCAACACTTGGAACTGAGATCACAAAGAGCCAAACTTTACTATCTTTTAAGTGCTATAATGTGCCCCAGACTGAGCTGCCAATAAATATTATTATTAAATTACCTTAAATGAGGGCTTGTCTTAAGGGAAAAATATTCCAGAGGAAAATAGCATATTTCACTCTAGATATTTCTATTCTGAAGAAGCCAGTGTAGAAGGCAACCCTCTCCACACCTGTGCTCAAAAATTAGGACTGTTTCATTAGAGGACCAGCTGTTAACTATGAGGAAATATATTCCAGAATAAGGGACGTCCTTGATCTTCTGACCACCAGAAGTAAGAAGTCTTGAGTGTTTGACTGTTTGTCTCTTTGTCTGTAGCAGATCAACCAAGACTTGAACATCCAGCTGCTAAAGGATGGGTACCGGTTAGATGAGATCCCAGATGACGAGGACCTCGACCTAATCCCCCCTAAATCGGTCAACCCTACCTGCATGTGTTGCCAAGCCACCTCCTCCACCGCCTGTCACATCCAGTAGTGAGGCCGGCAGGCTGTGATCAGTGCTTTCCACTATAACTGTAAAACTTAACAGCCATTGCTTCCTCCTATGGTAGGACGTGCACCTCTTTGTGTTCATGGAGCCAGGAGAAACCAAAAAATTCATTTTATGATTGGTGGATAAGTTATTTTAAACTATGGTTAAACAAAAGAGAAGTTGCTCAAAGTGCCAGGTAGTGCCTGGCAGGACTGACTGGTCTGGAGAGCGAATGCAGAGGGGTCCAGAGATACCTCCTTGATTTGTTTAGGCACTGGGGATATTTTGTAAAGTGTCTTTTCCAGAATGGGAAGGGTTCAGATGGGGCTTCAGGTGATCCTGCCCACTGAAACCAGTCCATCTGCAAGATTAGCATGAGTTGGAGGTATCAAAATGTTTTACCAATGAGAGGAAGTCAGTTCTTAATTCATTCACTAAACCTGCTTCATTTACATAACCAAAATTATACTATGACTGGGGCACAGGAATGGGAACGGACCAGGGCATCCTTTCTTATGGCAAGGCTAGCCAGGACTAGCATGACACAATTCATTCACTTGCAAAAGGGACAAATAAGTGACATTTCACTGTGAGTCAGTACTAGCTAGAGCTGTTTCATCACAAAGCCAATGCAATCTACCCTTAGCGCCACATTAAATTATCACCAAACGCATCAGATTCAATGTGCAATCCATCTGTGCACTTCAGGGATTCACTCCTTGCCCAGGAATACCAATCATACTCATGAGTTTAGTTCAGTCACGTATTCTGACTTCAGCCTATACTTAATTCCCATGCAACCCGTCTCTTTCCGAAAATCTTAAACTTTGTTCAACTAAGAAGAAGTGAGCCCTGCACAAGACTAGAGCTGTACAGTCTGAACATCAGTAATAGAAAAGCTAGTTGAAGAAAGTGCATTTTAACAGTGCTTGACTCTTGATATTCTCTTGATCGTATGTCTCTTGGTGCCTGTGGGAGAGATTCATGAATGCTGAAGTCATCTGTGTGGTGGTGACGTTGTCAGGGAAGTTGTCAGCAACAGAAGGATTATGAACAGCTTCGGCTGAAAAATACCCATGAGAGGAAACTACAGTTTACCCCATCTCTGCCCGCTTGTGAACCAGACATGGTCTGTGTTAGGAGTTGTCCCATGTCGTAGCAGATGTGTTTATTTGGTGCTGGAATAGTTAGGAAACCTGGTGTTACATTAGGTTGCTGGTCTGAGTTGCCAGTTCACCAGCAGATTGTTTTGAAAGCAAAATCACTTTGTAACTAGGAAACGTGCCCTCTCCCTGGCCAGTCTTACACTGATGGCTTCAGCATCTGCAAGGGATGGGCTGGCATTTTTCTGAGTGTTGAAATCTTTTGCCACAGGCACGACTGTTTGTTTTCCTGCCCTGCCAGGAGGAAGGACCTCCTGCCTTGGGTCATCACTTGCTTTGTAGCCTGGGGAATGGAAAATGTGAGAGCAGTTCTGAGCTTCCCATCACAATTCCCGAGTCACAAGGCAGAATCTGAGTTCCACCACAAGAGACACATCCTCCATCTGAAATCTGCATGAAGTGAGCTGAACCTTTAAGTCCTATTCATGATTAGGAGGAAGTTTGCTTAACATTCGTGGGGATTCACTTTGTGCAGTGCAAAGCTCAATACCATCCACAGCATAAGTGAAAGAGCAGGTACACAAGATTCCTGGGCTTTACTATTCACTAGCAACTTTTAAAGCTATGCTTATCCCCCCTCCTTGAAACAGCATGCTGCCACCCTGGCTCCAAGCCATAGAAAGATGACTTGAGTGGTGCTGCTTACTGGGCATCCCTGCCTCTTCATGCAGAAGTGCTGGTTAACTTGCCAGCTTCTGTAGGAATAGTGTTCCTCAAGTGAATTCCTCCTTTTCTCACCACCTGGTAGTGCTGAGGGGGAATATTTCCAAAATACAGCTTGAACTGAGGTTAGCAAGTTGTCTGGAGGTGGGGGAAACACTCTGCCAGTGTTGTGTAGAGAGAAGGATAAAAGGGGATAACATTCCTTAAGGAGTCCTTTTTTAATTGGGGATGTAGTAAAAACCTAATAGAAACACTGTAGTCAGAACAAATCTTAGAGGACATGAACAAGACTCTTTAAATCTTAACTCTTCTAAAGAGGGACTTTGCAGTTCATTGTTGTACCATGGAATGTCTTCATCACATTTATCCTGCAGTTCAGCACTGGTACCACGGAATGTCTTCATTGCATTTACCCTCCTGGGTCAGTCTCTGTGCCTTCCAGCCAGGCAGCACATGCTCAGCCTTTCCCACAGCCCTTGCTCAGGAGCTCAGAGCATTTTGGTGTGCCTGCTAGAGCAACAAGTCATCTGCTTTCCTGAGTCAGCCATGGAGGACTGCAGGTCCCACAGGTCTCCATCATGCTGCCATCATAGAATCCTGCAATCATCTGGGTTGGAAAAGACCCTTAAGATCATTGAGTCTAGCCATAACTGAGCGTTTGTTCTGTTCAGTCGAGGACAGAATGAGGCTTGCCGACACTGTTAACCTCCCAGGGTTGAGACCTCTTCTCTGAGGGACAGACCTTCATTTAGTGGTGGACTGGCAGTGCTGGATTAACGGTTGGACACAATGATCTTGAAGGTCTTTTGCAACCTTCCTGATTCTATGATAACCCCTGTCCCATGGCACCATGACCAAGTCCTTTTATTGCCCCTGTTGTTGGGTTTTTTGCCTGCCATGTGCCCTGAGGCATTCCCCAACCCTGCAGCTACCCTTTTGCATTGTGTGATGTGCATCTGCTTCTAGCACAACCCTTTAGGGAAGGAGGGAGGGAGATGAATTCAAATGTTAACAGCAGGTCCTTCCTGCAAATACAAACCGAAGCACAAGCCACATGTTTTTGCCTGTGCACTGAAGGAATTGGTTGCTCAAACAGCTGTTTTTGCATGACCAGTACAGGACCATAAAATGGCAATTTTTTGGCTTCTCCTCTCTATGCTTTGTGTTCATATATTTTATTAGGGGAATAAAGTAGAAAGGGTGGGGATAAGTAGTTACCTGTGTAGGATCATCATCAGAAAGGCTGAGTGGATTAAGGCAATGTGCATCTGGCTATCACAGAAAATGGAACACAATGCTTCTGAACTGCAGCCTCTTAAGCAGGTTATGATTATGGATGTTTGTTGGCTCGTTATAGAATATGATGGATTGCCCACTGGTATGTATTAACTACAGATTAGGCTGGTTCCCTCTGTCTGGTCTGTTGTGTTCAGACCCTTGATTAAACCAGCAGGTTTTCCTTATGCCCTCAAAATCACAGAGTCACAGAATGCGTAAGGTTGGAAGGGACCACAGTGGGGTCATCTGGTCCAATCTCTCTGCTCAAGCAACCCTTGCTGGAGGTTATGCTGTGGTGACTTTCTGGGAAAGTGTATATCGTGGCTATTCTGGCACTGCTCTCCTTAGACCAGTCTCTGCCACCATGGCCAGGAGAGGGCAAAAGGAAAGAGCACGGACCCTGAGTCTCTATTGCAGCATTTTAAAGCCCTAAAATCTGCAGAGCTGCTGGGCATTCTCCAAAACGCAGATTGCAGGCAAGAAAGAAAATCGTTCCTTGCTCCAGTCTTTGCACCAAATGAGATGGTCTTCTCAGACCTCAATTTCAATCCAAAGTTGTACTGAAAACCTGGGGAGGAACACCATGGAGTATTAGATGTTGCTTCGCTGTCCATCAAAATTACCATGAAAATAGGATTTAAGGATATTGATGCTGGTGCCTCCACAAAGGAATTTGCATTTGATGTCTCCTAAAGCCAGAGTGGTTTTTTGTTAGGATTTTACATGATGTCAGTCACCAAATTACCTGAGTTAAAGCAAGTCCTTTCCTTTTATCAGATGTTAATCTGATAAAATATCAGATAATATCCTTTAATGTGAGCTGGATTTGAACTCCAGGGTGTCAGCACTCTGCTCTGTCTCTCTGGTCTGCAAACTCCACATTTCCAGACATCTTTGTGAGGAGGAACATCCTCCTAATTTGTAGGAAGGACTTGAGATGGCATGGTCTTGTCTGCTTTTGTGGTGTTTTTAAATAAATTTCAGCTGAAAGGAGGCTGATGCCCAGGCGACCATCCTGGAGGCTCATCTGATGTCTATTCAGACACATCTTGAAGTCAACCCTTGGAAGAGTCACGGGATCATAGCTGACATTGCTGCATGCCTGCCCCTAACATGCACTTGGCCTCTGGGTCTGCAGTGCTCTCCTGGCTGTCCTGCCTGCAGATGCCTTGGGACTGCAAAGGCAGGTGACCAGGCCTGCTGCATGGGGTTTGAAAGGGACTTCTGACAGCTCCCCCATGGACAGGATGGACTCAGCTCCTTTGGTTTGTCTCGCTAGCTCTTGTCCCAAATGGACATGCCCGTTGTGTTCAGCTCTGTGCTGGCTGACACACGTGTCTGCAGTCCTGAGCAGGATCCCTCCCTTTCCGTGCACAGTCTGTCCTTGGACTGGCCTGCAAGCTATACAGAGCACACAGGAGGCTTAAAAAGTGCAGTGCCCTGTGTGTGACTCAGCAGAAACATGAAGATGCTTTTGAAGAAAGGAAGGACCCAGCTGGGCAACAGATGGAACAACAGGAAAAGGAAAACAAGTAACTAGAAAGATTGCCAAGTGCTGTATTGGCCTAGAGCAGATCCCAATTGTCTGAGTTAATCTGTCTCAGTGCAGTGCTGATGCCAGCAGGGAGCAAAGCTCACTTTCAGATGTGCACACCAGAAACACCATGTGCCTGAGCTGGCACTGCAGCCAAATAGAACTCTGGAGGGTCTGTTGGCCTGTGAGAACACAGAAATGAGATCTGGGGTCCTTTGCTGCAGTTGGCACTTGCTATTTGCTCTAACCTCAGGCAAGTCACATCCCCTCTCAGTGTCCATTCCCTTCTGCAGCTTGGAGGAGAAACTTGTCTTCCCAAGATGGGACTACCACCCTGCATGGACGTTTTTTAGTATATGACAGGCACCAGTGATAGGATAGCTCTGCAAGCAGGATGTAAATACCATGCTATAGAAATTTAATTCCTGTTTTCAGAGTACTGCTCTGCTTTCCCTCTGTTTACCGGTTGGTGATGTTGCTCACATGGGCCAGAAGGCAGCAGGGTGAAGGTTAGTGGAGAGATTAAACAACTGTGGAGGAAGATGTTTGGCAAGGATGTGTTTTCCAGTTATTTGGCAGCTGACTCTAGCACAACTGGCTTCTGAGTTTGCCTGCCTGCTGCCAAAGGGAATGTGGAAGAAGATTTGTTGGCCCAACAGCACCATCCATTGATACCAGAAATAAGGAACTTAGAAGTGCAGCTTGGGATGGCAAGTACTGATGAGGGGGAACAGAGCATTGAAAGGCTCATTTTGGGGATATTCTGACAGCAGTTTCATGCTTTTGCTTTTAGCAGCCATCTCAGCAATTAAACTGGTGGTTTTGCCTGGGCTCCTCCTTTACTTTTCCATTTTCACTTCAAACCCACATGGGATTTGGCCCCTCTTACCTAGAATGCAGTAGGCTTTGTGACCTGGCTGCTGCTCAGCTCAGCAAGCTTGGGCTGCATGTTCAAAAGAAGCATCTGCATAGAGAGGCAGTGCCACAGGGTGAGATGGGCTAGCTGGGAAGGCATGGAAGGGTCTTCATTTTAAGGTGTTTTTCAGTTCTACGCATCCTTCTCACTTCCTTTCAGGACTGCTGTGAGAGGGATTGCTCCAAACTTTGAACCACATCTCATGAGACAAACCCAAGTCTGTTCCAGAACCGTGCAAGTTCTGAAGCAGAAGGGCCAGCAATGGAGCATAGAGGGAGACTCTGTGACCTGGCATTACCTACAGAAGATTAATAGAGGTTTCTCACAGGAGCTCTCATCCATATCTTAGCTCCTTGTATTTATGCAGCTGAGCCACTGCATTGCTTCCCAAAAAATTACAGCTACATCCCTTCCTTTGCTCTTCTTGACATTACTGGCAGTCCTAGGATGAAAGCAGCTAAATGCTGCTTGGCTGAGCGCTGCTTTGACAGCTTGGTGGGGAGGCAAAGGCTGGGACTAACTGGAATTACACGGAGCAGAGCACCGTGGCCCACACAGCCATGCAGCAAGATATGTCACAGAGCAGCATGCACACAGGCAGGACAGGCTGCACCTTTCCCTGCTGCTTGTGGAGAGCAGCTTTTCCCGTTGCTTCCCAGACCCATTTGCCACTTGTGGTGACTTTGAGCCTTTTGCTTTCTCTAAAAAGCTGCTCCAACAAAAGATGAATTTGCTTCTGGAAGTTGCCCACCTCACTGATGGCGCCTGGTCTGTTGAGCCATTTCCATAGTAACAAATTCATGATACAGGCACTGGGATTGGATCAAGGAGTGGAAAGTACAAAATAAACCTCATTAAAATGTGACTGTCTCAGACATGTCTCTGGAAAGCAGCACAGTAGGCACTAGGAAAAGAAAAGGTCACCCAGAGGCCATGCTGAGATAAGTCCTGTTACCTGATGAGATTTTTTTACTTTCCCAGAGCAGCATTTCTCCCATAGTTGCTCATCCATCTGTCTCAGGTGAGCTCTCCAGAAAGCATTGCTCCTTGTCTAAGCTGTCTTCTTGCTTCTGCTGCCCAAATAAGCTGCAACTCCATTTGTTGCCCACCTTCCTCTGTGATTTGGGAGACACAGTTTGTTGAGAGATGTAATACAGACACATGGAAAGAGCTGAAAAACTCAGTCAAGCACTCTTCCTGATAGATCTTCTGTTTTTTATCACCTTTCTATCCATCCCCAGTTCATAGGTTTCTTTGCTCGGTTTCTTTGCATGGAAAAGCTGTGGTAGCTGCTGTGTTTGGCTTGTAGCTGTCTGTATCCTTGAGACAAACCCCAAGCAAACGTCAGACCAGTGGGAAATCCAATGAACAGGGTGGGGTGTGAGCCAGAAGGCAGGCTGGGATTCCTCTTCATCCACCTGATGACTGTGAGGGTAAGGGTGAGGGTTCACCAGGCTGGTGACACCCAGCCAGCTGAGCCAGCCTTCACCCTCCCAGTCTCAGTGCTGTGGGAGGTGTGGGGCCCACACACCAGGTCGCAGACCTGCCAGCCCAGGTGCTCCTGGTGCAGGCTGGAGACCTGCAGTGCTCTTGCACTGGGACAGGGGCTGTAAGACATGCTGGTGGGGCTATAGTTCTGCCGGGAGAAAGACTCTTGTGGAGACAATTCAGAATTTCTACACACACACATACCCATTTTGCACTCTGTAAACCATTTTTACTCCTTCCACAGAGGTCGTTGAACCTTCAGTTTAATAAAGCAAATGAGCTGCCATTGAATAGCTTTCTGAAGGATCTGAAAGCAGGTGCTCCCCGGCGTGCAGAGCTGCTCTGTGCCTAACATGATTTCCAGACCTCACTGTACGACCTATACAGAATCACCCCATGGCTGAGTGAGGACTGGAGTGGGAGAGTCAGCACAGGACATCATGCCAAACAGCCATGGCTTCCCAAACTGAAGCAGAATCAGACCAGGAAGTGGGGGAATGAGCAGCAGCAGTAGAGGGATAGCTAGTTGTCACAGGTAATCTTCAGTATCCGTGTCCAGTGGTTAGTGCTAGAATCACAAGCCTTGTTATATTGCACACACGTCCTCCTTCCACTCCCCTTTCCTCAAAGCAGCCGTCACCTTTCCTCCCACCGCCCCATGCACTAGTGGTGAGCATCAGAGGCAGTTGCACCAAAGTGATTCTCAGCCCAGTTCTGCATCCCCCTTTCCCACCTGAACCCAAGGCAGCTTGGACAGTTGTTGGCCTGCACCAGTCCAGTAATTGCAGTTGGGTTTCTTTCCTTGTGTACCATGGCTTCCTTCCCACACACTCTAGCAGGGCAGTACAGAAGGCTGTGACCATGTCCCAGGAAGCTTCTTTGCCCCCAGCAGCACCTTGCAGACATGCACCTTATTGGGAGTGTTGATGCTGGTGAGATCTGGCGCTGCCGGTCTTGCATGGGTGGCAGCTGATGGGGATCCACCTGGGGAAGTTGGCAGAAAGTGGCTACTGTCCCTTTTCTTTTCTTTTTTGATGGAGAAGGGGATATTTTGGCATTATGATTATTGTCCACCTTCCAGTGGCCAAGTTCTGGGCTGCATTAATAATTGGGGTTCATTGGCTGTCCAGGCAGGTGTGGAGCTTTGCACCAATCTTGATAACAAATACTGTGGCTGTATCCAGAGCCTGGATACAGGATGGGTTTCTGCCATGCTGGCAAATTACTTTCAGCAGGCTCCAGATGGACATTTCTGGCAGACAGAAAAACAGCACTCCTCCAAGTCTGGATCAAATCTGCACTTCCATTTTGTGTCCTCAGCATGGAAAAAAACGTCAACCTTAGCAAATGCTTTCCAGGTCTCCGTTCCCCCTGTGGTGCCTGGCAGCCCAGGGGAAGGGGTGTCCAGGGGCATTTCAGGATCACCAAAAGCAAGATCCTTTTTGGATTTATTTAATGGAAATACATTTCAGGAGGAGAGACCTCCCAACCTTTGTGTTAATCTCAAGAGCAGGAGATGAATTTCTGGCTGTCCTTGCATATAGTGAAACATAGCTGAAACAGCCAAATGCAAATAGAGTTAAATGTAGGGTTTGACCTGAATAACCTTTTAATTAGGAAAATAAATTTGTTGTAGCTTGACCTTAGTCCTTGTTAGGAACCTGCTAATCATTTGACATGCGGAGTGTATTAATGCTGCACTTAACTTGGCCATTGGTTTTATTATCTGGTTTTGGGAGTTTTTTCACTCCCAGAGCATCAATCTGCATCTTGTATGGGTTTTCTTTTGTTTCTTTTTTTTCCTGTTCAGATCATGTAGCACACTATTGTACTTTTGTTCCCGTCTGTGTAGAGTATTGCCTTAAACAGATCAGTTGTGTTGTGGTTTGTTTTGGGTTTTCTCTTTTCTACCATCAGTTTTATGCATTAATTTATTTAAAAATGTGGGAGTTGTTTTTTTTTTTTTTTTTTCAAAAACATGAAACATGTATAATATTTTTTTTAACATTTCCATTGCAGTATTTATCATTGTTACTGGTTGTGTGTAGTGTAACGGAATTAATGATATTAAAAAGCATACATATGAAAATGAGCCTGGCAGCCTTTTTTCATTGGAGAGAACTGAGGCAAGAGGGTGCGAGCTGTGCCATCTCCTCTGAGCTTCCAGCAGTCACAGATACTGAAATCAGGGGTGCAGCCTTCCTCCCATGGCTAATACCAGCCTGCTTGTGCCCAGAAACAGCAACTGGTGTGGAGCTGTGCTGTCTGGCAGGAGTAAATATTCAGGAACTGGCCAGCCCCCTGCCCACATTTGTCCCCAAGGCAGTGGGAAGGCACACAAGGCTGGACCCCGCCCCTACCTCTGGTCTGCGGCAAGCAGAAAGAAACTGTGCATCTGTATGACAGCAGTGGGTGAAATAACCTTCTCTCCAGCCCTTCTGCCCCTCAAAGCTGCTGGCACCGGAGCCAAGCGCTGATTTTAAAGTCCAACACCAGCAGCTGGAAAACAGATGGGACAGGGGACAGCCATGGGGGTACAGTGGTTCACGCTGGCATTGAGTCTGGTGTAGGATTAGTTCCCCCACAACTGAGAGGCTTGGACTCCAACCTCTCTGCAGAGCAGTGCTCCCCAGACCTGTGTCCTGGGGTGCTTCACCCTTCCCTCCCAGCCTCCCACTGATTCCCAGGAAGGGATGGGGCTGATGAAGAGCCTAAACCTGGCCCAACAGACTCCAGTGGGGTGTGGAAATGAGGGGCCACTTGTTTTCTTCATCTCTAACAGCACATTATCATGTTTGCCTGGAGCCACTCAGGTGCCACGGGTTGCCTGACCCCACCATCGCCAGCAGCAAACCGAGCAGGGCTCTGCAGCCCTTCAGGGACACAGGTTGGTATCCACCCTGCCAAGACAGGCTTGGGTCTGCACCAGTCATCTCCGAAAATGCGGCAGCAGAGGGGCTGGAACTGGAAGCAGAGCAGGGCTCTGAGTCAGCACTCTGTGACAAGCCAGGCCAGAGCAGGGCTTGGCTTGTCCACGTCCGTGCAGGAGCAAGGATTCTTCTCAACTCCTCAGCTCCAGGAAAAGCAAACCCAGCTCATGCAAATCCTTCCCTGGCATGACCCAGCTGCCTCTCTGCACTGAGATGGATGAGGATCTCTCACTCTGGCTGCAGAGCCCTTTACTCAGAATGGAAGACCAAACAAGCCACACAGGATCACGTAAATCCAGCTTCTAATTAAAAAGGGGAGACAGAGCAGGTGATAATTCCCCTGGCTACCACAGAGGCTGGGGCAGCTATGCCTGGTGCTGTGCATGGGCACTGGCTGCACTGGTGTGGGGCTTTTTGCCTGCAGCTGAATTGCTGCAGGATTTCCAAGGAAATACAGGAGAAAGGGGCTGGAACCACCATAATCACTTCTCCTGCACCTCCCAAAATAAAATTATCTTGACTAGGACCAGCTGAAACTATTTCCTACCATTGTTAGGTAGTTGCCTGGAGGAGGGGAGGAAGCTGGGAGCCAGGATGAAACCAGGAGAGTGCAGCCCAGGAGTGATGCAGGCAGAAATTGTTCTGCCCTAGGCTAGAGCTGGAGCATAGCTATGGGGCTGACCAAAAGCCACCAAATCCCCCTGCTCCCATTCTATGGCATCAATAATCACATAAGCACCACCTGGAGCTGGCAGAGCAGTGGCACCAGCCCCCTTCCCCTTTCTATGTGGACTGCGAGTCCCCAGGCCCACCCCTGTCCCAGCAGGCTGCAGCAACACCTTACTCTTCTCCAAAAAACACAAGACCCCCTATCAGGGCTTACATCAGCTTCTGCTGCCTGCTGTGCTTTGTCAGACCATCCAAGAGCAGGCTCCACAACAGCTCTGGAAAGAGAACAAGTTAGCAAAACATATAAATGCTGCAGGAGGAGAAAACTTCAGGGTTTCTACCGCTACCCAGCTGCAGCTGCAGGGGGATGGCACGGGACTCATGCCTTGCTGCATGTCTGTACTGGGGAAATGGCTCCCTGATTAGGAAGCGTTTGACACCTCTCAGGCTGTGCTTGCCAACTTCTTGTCCCCTGGAGCTGCATCCTGCAGCGGCTTTGGGCTCTCAGTCACCAGGAAGAGCTCTCACACATCAGCCCTGTCCATCAGTAGGTTTTGGAGCGCACAGTTGGCAGGATCTGCTGAGGAAAGGGAAACTGAGGCAGAGCCCAAACCAGGGCTGCTGTGTGACATGGTGATGATGGGGGGGCAGAGAGGGTGGCTCTGAGAGCTGCTCCAACACAGCCCTCAGGCTCAGATCAGTTCCGATGAGGGGCCTCCCATGACAGGGGGACCGTGTGAAGGGCTTGGGAAAGATCTGAGCACCAAAAAAACCCTCCCAGCCCTGGTCCTGGAGGAAGAGTGATCCCTGAGCTGAGGTCTCAGTGTGTGTCTGGGGGACACAGCTTTCCCCACAGGGGCTAAGAAGGTCACAGGCACTGAGGCAAAGCTCGCTGCAAACTGTCTCATCTCCCGCAGCCTCATTAGCATGTGCATTATAATGAGGGAGCGAGCAGAGGGCACAGAGAGAGATGTCACTGCTCTGCAGAAACAGAAATGGAGCACACTAACAGCCAGAGCACCCCTCTGCCCCACAGGACCCAGCCCTCTTTGGCCTTGCCATTGTTTTGGTCATGTAACTCCCCACCCTGTGCTGGCCCCATTCCCAGTGCACTCACCCCATCTCCCACTAAGGCAAAGTGCCCAGACGCCTATGGACACCCTGGCTGCAGGGGGAGAGGAGCCAGTGATGCCCAGCCATCCTTCCTCCCCTGGTTTTGGGTGAGCAGGGAGCCTGGAGGGAGGATCACGGTGCTGCAATGACCCCCAGGCCCACCCAGTGTAAGGGAGGCTTGGTGTCGCGTGTCCAGCTGCATTTCCAGCATTAGGTCCTGCCTGATAATCGGCTTCACCGTGTGTCCCGATGGCCGTGCAGACAGATGCTGCCACATGGCATGGGTGTCTCTTCCCACTCCCTGCTGTCTGTAGGGATTAACAACGCCCCTGTTACAAAACCCATCGAGCCAAGGTCAGACCGAGCAGCTGATAGAGGTGGCAATGCAGGAACACTACAGCAACATTATCACCCTGCTGCTTACTGGCCCGAGAAGTATGGGCGGGCTGGGCAGGCCTGAAGGTACTGCTGAAGTGCTGGCTGACCCCCTGAGTCACACAGGGCACGTCTCCATGGGGTCAGGAGGCTGAGGATGCTGGCAGTGGCCCTTTTCATCCTCCTTTTGCATCCTGTGTCCCCCTTCCAGTGGCAAAGGGATGCTCCTTCAGTATCTGTGCTTTATGGCTTTGCCACGGCCACCCACCTCCCTCCCTAGACTGAAACTGTCCCTGTCCAAGGAATGTCTGCTGATCCCTAGCGCTTTGTCCCCTGGTATCCCATAAATACCCCCTGGTGGTAGGTGCTGCCTGGGGGATACTCTCCAGGAGCCCCATAGCCCCCAGGGACCAAGGCTGCACAGGCAGGAACAAGTGGCCAACGAGCTGCAAGTGGTGGGTGTCACCTCCATGACAGATCCTTAACAAGAACCTCGGGATCAGAACCCCTGACATGTCCCCTCACCCTGTGGCATTGTCTTTCAGGGAGTGGGGGAACAGTCGGGGCTCTCTGGACATCCCTCCACGCCCCCGGTACCACAGGACACCCCTGCCTGTCACTTTTGCATTGCACAGCACAACACAGCTTTTGTCAATAAGGGCAAATACATCACCTGGACAACGGGCCCCTCCAACAGCATAGCCTGGAATAAAGACTCCTCTCACCTCCCCCTTCTGCCCAAGGTGGAGTCCAGCCCTGCTAGATCCCCCAAATTGGAGCTGCCCCAGGTGCTGCCAGCACCTCGAGCTCTGCAGCACAAGGCTGGCATTGCTCCTTGCAGGAGGCAAGGCTGGAGACCTTTCTGCACAGCATGCCCAAGCTGTATCCCCCAAAACCCACCTGCCTAGGATGGGTGGGACTGCAGACCCCGAGGGGTAGCAGGTCCCACTGTGGTGCCCACACAGGCAGCGATGCAGCCCCCACACCTCCATCTTGCAGGGTGAGTGAACCTGACCAGGGCAGGACACCACTGCAGTGCTGGGCTGTGGAGAATGTTGTTGCCCCCCCACGGAGAACCGGTTGCCAGATTTACCTGCCCAGGACAGGTGTTCCTATGCCTGGTCTCACCCAGCCGTCCTTGGAACTGTACGACCCCTGAGATCCTGCTGACATCCCTGAGCCCACTTTGCATGTAGCTTAGCATCCTCACAGACCACGTCAGTGTTTCTTGTGCTGCTCTTGTATTTTCTGTTGTCATTGTGTGCTCTACTTATCAAGACTCTGTTCCCTGGTCACGCTGTTCCTTATGCAGTAATCACCCCTGTCCTTCACCCACTGCAGGTCCAGCAGCACCTTTTAATCCCCACATGTTTACCTTTAGGATGTCTCTGTTGCTGAGGCAGCTTTTTTTCAACGCTGGGGAAGCAGCAAGGGCAGAAGGGAGGCTGTCCAGCCAGCACAGCCATCACTCAGCTACTGCATTAACCCCTCATAGGCCAAAGTTAGGTGTGAGGCTTTGCAGAAAACATGTGACCAGCTTTAAATTCCAGAGATCCAGAACTAAAACCAAACTATGAGAATAAACAAGGAGCACACAGATTTCCCTATGCCTGAGGCTCAGAGAGAAGCTTCTCAAGGTCTTCTCCACTTGGAAACAGGAGTATTTTCCTGGATTGTCATGGCTTTGGGAATGAAGATTTTAGGAAAATGACCAAACAGGAGCGAGAGGGTGTTTGCAGAGAGGGACACCTGCTAGAAATAGTCTCCTGGAAATGTCAAGGAGTGTTAGTTTATCTCAGAGGCTTGCTCTGCCCCTTGGCACTGGTGAAGGGCAGATATGGGCTTTCATTAAAACTGGCTTGTGCCAGTTCCCCTCAGACCCTTTCCCACAGGTTTGGGAAGTTTCTGGTAAGGGGGAAGAAACTTCAGCCACTGCTGGCTTGGTGGGCACTTCAAGAACCCTCAGGGTCTGGTACCTTGCCACCACACACAAGCTGGAGACCAAGAAAGCACACCAGGGAAAGCTCTCAGAGCATAGTAACACAGCCAAAAATAGAAGCAGTCATTGACACCCGTGTTTGTCGGCTTCGTGCTGGGCTGCTGAGGACGTGCTTGTTTTTGGCAAGTTATCCAGGAAGAGCTGCCATCCATCTGGGATACTGAGCACGGACACAGGCTAAATAAGGAGGGGGACTTGAAAGCAGCACATAATTAATGAAGGCATGAAATGCCCTTCTCTGACTATGATCTGAGAGCACAGTGCCGGGGGCTACATCACCCAGGGCCCTCCAAATGTGCTACTGATTATAAACCCATGGCACTGCAGTCCTCACGGTGGGGTGCTCCAGCACAGAGCCATTGGGGAACCCACATTCCAGTGGGGCAGCACGGCTGCCATGCTGTGCCCACACCAAGCAGCACCCCAGTCCTACTGGGGGCAGGGAAAAAAACGTGAAAACCTCATCCCATGAAAGAGCATCCCATGAAAAGCATGACCCGGCCCAAAAGCACTCCCTGAAAAGTCAATCCCAGCCCCAAAGCATCGAATGAAAAGCCCAGCACAGCCCAAAAGCATCTCAATAAAACCCTGTCCTAGCCCCCAGGCATACAATTAAAATCTAGTCCTGGCCCCGAAGCATCACATGAAACCCTCCATCCTGACCGAAAAGCATCCTGGCACAGCCCTGCCAGCCCCAAACCTCGATCTCCCCCATCCCAGCCCCAGGGGTACCCGCATCCTCACGCGCCCCGGGGCATCCCCAGCGGCTCTATCCCCCCCGGAGCAGCCCCGCCGGGGCCGAACTACATCTCCCATCGGGGAGCGCCGGTCCGGGGGCCGGTCCGGGGCGGGAGCCGGGGCGGGGCGGGGCGCGCCCAACCCCGGAAAACCGCGCTCAGCCCCGCGCCCGGAGCCCCCCGGCCCCGCAGCCCCGGCCATGGCCCCGCGCCCCCGGTGAGTCCGCGGGTCCCGGGGCTGCCCCCGGGGCGGGTGTTGGGGGCGCAGCCTCGGCACGGGGGGTGCTGGGTGGAGGCAGGCGAGGGGGTCCCCCTCCCGCAGACCCCGGGCTGCCGGCGGGAGCGGGGATGGCTCGGGAAGGCCCGCGGGGACCGGGGTGAAGGTGCAGAGGTTCGCCCTGACCTTGGGGTGCGAGCCTTTGGCATCCCACCGTGCAGGGACCGCGCGAGTTCTGTCGTGGGTGGGAGTCTGCCCGCCCGGAGGAGATGAGCGGAGCTGGGAGACACGTCCCCAGCTCCAGTCGCCAGGTTCAGCTTCAACTTTTGCCGCTCTATCGACGCTTCGTAGTGAAAACTTTGCAGATGGGTGTAGGCGGCGAATTGTGCCATGTGCCGGGCTTGGGTTTGGAGTGTTTTTTTGGGACAGCTCCGCCATCACTGGCCATGGCAAGGATCGGCCAAAGCGTGTTGGAAAGCACAAATGCTACTCCCTCTTTCCCCTTCCCCCGCCTTGCCTCACCGCCTTGGGATGCTCACGATGCACAGCCGGGTGGACGATGAGATCTGGGAGTTTATGTCTGTGTGACTGGATCTGCCCATGGAGCATGCAAGGGAGCACTTAAAAGGATTGACGACTGCGTTTGGCCCAAGGTTCTTGTGTCTCAAGTCTCTCCCGACTGTTAGATACAGATGCGAATTCAGGGACCCGAGTTGCCAGCGCAGCTCCATTAGCCAACCACGGCTCTCTGGAACTGCCCAGCGCCTGGAGTTTCATGGTGACTCGATGGCTGGAAAATCGCCGGGGCCGTGCCAGAGGGATGTGCTTAGTTTCCATTTCTCTCCCATATCGCGTTGTAGCGCTTGGGTGTTGGGGTGGGCTCAGGTTTCAGGCTGCTTCAGCATCCGAAACGCTGAGCGCTCCCGAAGCGCTGAATCAGCTCTTTTAAGAAAGAGTCGGGGGAGGGGGGGAGGGGGGCACAAAATAGGGCACCGGGTCCTGCTGTGGGGTGGTTTATCTTGGAGGAGGGAGATGAGTAGGGAATGAGATTAACACCCACGCTAGGGAGAGGCTGTTGGAGTGATGTGGTGTTTGAGGGCACATGTTGTGTACCGGCCGGAATTGAGCTGAGGGAGCGACAGACATCATCAGAGACACCAAAATCTTGATGGCTGTGGGTCTTACACAGCACACGTGGCAAATGAAATAAGCTAATAGTAAACTGATGGCTCGTGTGGAAGTTTCCTTGTCTGCCTGCTGGGCCATGTCCTTGCCTGGTGCTGCTCCTTGGTGGGAGTGATGATATTGTTGTAGTTATCGCTCTTGTTTATTTGGAGGGTGATTTATGTCATCTCGGCGTGCAGGCAGGTGGAACCCCTTGCATTTGGTGTTTTGCTGCTGCTGGGTACAAGAGCTGGCTGCTGTGCTCTGGGATGGCAGTTTTGGAGCCAAGCTGCCTCCAGCTCCCCCAGGGCCTGTAGGACTTCTCCAAGGTGGACAGAGAGATGTCCTTGAAGGGAGAACCCTGGAACTTTCTCTCCCTCATGTCCAACGCACTTTGATGCAAGTGGACCAGGACATCTCCCTTTGTTTTAAAGTCTCCACAAATCTTGGAAGCTCAGATAAATTCAGGTGCTGTGATGTGCCTCCAGGCAGGGGAAAGCAAGAGCCTCTGGTCATCGTTTAGTCATGAGACATCAGCACCATAAGAGGTGTGCAGGGTTAAAGTGAAAAGCCAGCTTATTGAACTTCATCTTGCTAATTAACACAGGGTGAAGAACAAAGAAAGACAATGTTATAAAGGGGGAATTATCACGGGTGTTAAAATATTAAGTCATCTGCTGCCAGAATTGATTCCCAGTGGCTATTTTGTATTCATGGTCAGACACTGGATGAGGTGTCTAAATGAGTTTGGAGCATCACTTGACACTGGAAGCTTTAAAGGACAAACCTGGGTTGTAAAGTCATGATTTCTACAGTATAGGTGAAAGTATTTAAGGTTAGGCAGAGCTAATGCCTCAGCTTCAAATCTTCTGCCTCCTCTTGCAGACAGAGCGAGGTCCTGGCAGCATGTCTGCACTTTGCAGATGAGCTCTATATTCACGTGGTCCCCTTGGATTTGGGGTTTATCCTCTGGGTGCCCAGTGCTGTTTAATCCTGGCTTACAAACCAGCCGGCAGCGGTGGGACTGCTTGTTTCTTGTCGCTCAAGGCAGCCTCATTATCCTGCAGGATCACGACTCTGCTTAAAATAAGAAGATTTGGGGGAGAAAAGAAAAACCACCCCAAACCGTGTGTTGGGTGGTTATTATTATTATTATTATTATTATTATTATTATTATTATTATTATTATTATTATTATTATTATTACTATTATTTTGCTTTCTGATTCTGGAGCTCCTGTGAGTGCAGGAGGGGACGAGCTTTCACCGGCCCTTCCCGCTCACCTGGCAGGGAGGGGAGATGCCGACCGGGATCCCGGGACTCCGGGAGTGTGTGCCTGCGGCAGCCCCCCTTGGCCGGGCGCCTCTTCCCTGGCACACCCCAGCCAGAGGGTTGGCTGCTCCCGCATCCGTCACAGTGCCTGAGAGAACACGCCGGTGACGTGCCGGTCCCCTCCTCCTGTCCGCGGACACGGAGCAGCCGGCTCGGAGCCCCGACACGAAACGCGATGGAGAGGTCGAAGCTGCCGGGGACGCGTAGATGTAGCGGTGCTCGGGTTTTATGTGCTTAAAAAGGCATCTGTGGTGGAGCCAGGCGGCAGGCAGGGATCCCCGGGAAGCAGTGGACAGGTAAGTACCCCGGGGCACCGTGCCCCCGGCAGGGTGAGCTGCCTCCTGGCTGGGCCTGTCCCTATCCAGCAGTTGGGTGCCGCGGGGAATTTGCAACAGCCCCAACAGCAAGGGTCTGTCACTTTGCAGGAGGGGCAGACAACCCCCTCCCCGCAGCCTCTCCCTGAGCCCCTCAGACCAGGCAGGCTGTCGATCCCTGCTCTGACCACAGCGCAGACGGTGAAGGTGAGGGTCCCCCTCGCTATCCCTGCTAGGGCAGAGCCGCTGCCCTGGCTCAGGGGCCGGGGGTCTGTGCCTCCCCAAGGTGGATTAATCATTGCAGGGATAAACTTAGAGCTCTGGGGGAATCAGCTGTGGTATTTGGGAGGATCCACAGGACTCGGGAAGCAATCGGTGCTTCTGGTCCATGTGGAGTCAAGTGTGTGGGGAGCAGCCCTGTGCTCCGTGAAAGTGTTTTTGCCAGGTGCCCCCACCTGTCCCACCTGCAGCACCAAGCAGGTGGAACAGTGATTTCACCATATTTGACCCCAAAAAGCCCTTCAGAGAACTCCAGTGCTCTGCTGCAGACCCCTCCAAGGGAAACTAAACCCTCAGGAAGGGTTTGCTTGCCCTCCATCTCAGGTGTGCAAAGTCTCTTTGTCAGGGCTGGTTCCCTGCAGGGGGTTCCAGACTCGGCATGTGGAGGGTTTTTTGCCCCCATAGCTTTTTTGCAGGGAAGAAATTTCTCCCTTAATTTGGTATCCTAATTCCCTTCTCATGTATGGGGTTGGAGGTGCCTCCTGGTGAAAGCTGCAGTGTTTCTGTGCTGTTTCCTTGGTTTGGCTCCTGCCAGCATGTTTGGGGAGGAGGTGGTAGCACCTTGCAGCGGAGGCAAGGGCTTCCTGGCATCCCGGCGTGGGAAATGGGTGTGGGTCCCCAGCACAAGCTTGGCTCCCAGCATGGTTCAGACCTGACCCTGCCAGGGGCAGTAGAGACCAGTTATGTGTTATTGACCCTCTTTAAATGAATGTCCTAATTGCAAAGTGGCTGGGGTTAGTGGTGCTGTGGGTCTCGCAGCCCGTGGATAGCGGCGGTGTTGGTAAAAATAGAAGCGGTCAAAAAATGGATTTTTATTTTTACTTCGTAAAGTGTGTCCTGCTCAGATGTTTTGCTTTCATCTTGGGTTGAGGCAAGATGGCTTGCTGCTTCCACAGAACACAAAGAGAAAGCTTTGTTTTGGGTCAGCTGGGAAGCTCCAGCACAGCAAGCTGCAAACATGCTGTTTGACTTTGACACTCTCCCTCCCCTCGTTTGCTTTTTTTTTTTTTCTTTTAGGAGTTAAAGGTCACCACAATGTCATCTTGGAGCAAAATAACAAGTTAGCATTCAAAAAAAAAAAAAAAAAAAAGTTGAAACAAGCAGTTCATGAGCAGGCACCTCTGCAGGCTGCAGCTCGTGAGTGAGAGGTGGAAGGCATCTCTGGGGAGCCTGGGAGACTTAGCTCTCACCTGGGATGGAGACAAATCTCCCACTGGAGAAGGTGCATTTTGTTAACAAGGCAAAAAAAATAGAGAGACCGCACGGGCACAGAGCAGGACTGGGTCTGGAGACCTTCCTGGCCCATCAGTGTGCTGGGTGATGCCCACAAACATAGTTCCAAGATTCTTTGTTGGAGAAGTATCCAAGCAGGCAGTGTTCATCAGCCCAGGGCAGCCACAGGGTTTGATCTTGGCCTAGCCATAGCAACCAGAGTAGCATTAAATCCACCAGCTCGATCACCCAGCTTTCACGTCCCTCTGAGGCAGATCAGTGTCCAAGGGACACAAAAGGCTGCAAAACCTTTCTTAAAATAACACATTTATTTCTCTACTGACAGCAGCAGTGATGGCTCCCTCATGTATGCCATGAGCTCCAGCCCATGGGGGGTAAAAGAAGGAAATAGCCTAAAAATAGAGCAGCTTGGAAGTAGTTCATAAATAATAAACCAGCCTCCTGAAAGGGAGATAAAAATCCAGAAACTCCCTAAAGCCCTGGGTGCTGCTGTCAGTTTTACATGGAATGAGGAGGTGGCTGTCGCCACAGTGGCAGTATCAAACATTTCTTGGGCTTAAAACCCTAAATGAGAGTTGGAAAGAAAGCACCATTTTCCCCTCTTTTCTGTACAGAAAATTAATTTAAATTAATTTAAAAAAATTACTTTCCCAAATAATTTGCAAGTGCTGCTTGGTGGAGGCTGCTTTTTGTATTTCCCCCCTCCTTGAGCTTTGCAGTCCCCAGATAAGGCAGGACTGAGACATAGTCGTGACAGGTATTTGCGTCTCTCTCTCTCACACCCCAAAAATTCCCAGTGCTGAGAGGGATGGAGTTTGTTTGGGCTCAGCATACCCATCTGTATTTCCAGAAGCATCCTACCACTTGCGGCTTTGCTGAGCTGCCTTGGTTTTGGCCAAGATCCTTCTTCAAACCTTCCTCCCCGTCATCCCCGGTGAAGCCCTTGTGCTGCTTCTGGTTCACCCTAAAGCAAAGCAAGAGTTGGGAGAGGGGACGAAGGTTTATCCCAAGCACAGCCTCTTCCCACCACCAGCTTCTCCCTGCCTTTGTTGCCCAATTTTTGCTGGGCTCAGCTGGCCTTGCATCACACGTGCTGGTGGGTGGGAGTCCCACTGCCCTCCTGGGGGCAGGATGCATCACTGGGTGACACAGTTGGAATGGCTGGAGCTGTCCCCATCCTGTGCCGAGTGAGGGCTCCGTGGGAGTTGGCCGTGGGACAAGTCGTTTAACTAAACCTATCGCCTGTTCAGGCTAATCGCTTCCTAATGCCTCTGTAATCCCATTTAAAGCAACTGGCAGTCTAGAAAGTTACTGGCTCCCAGGGGAAGGTTAAAATGACCTGTATGGCTACACAAAAAGTTCCCCCAACTGCAAGGTCTAGTCCAATACGTGCTTCACGACGATTAGAAAACAGGGAATGTTCTGTTGAGCCTGTGTGCAGATGCTGCTGTGGGTTTACACTTGGGCATGCCTGTAGCAGAGCAACAGGGGTTAGGTGGTGGTGGTCAGGACCCCTTTCTGCTTCTCTTTGCCTTTTCTGGGGAGAAGGATCTGTTTGAGGCACAGAGTGTTCTGACTTGTAGTGCCTGTGGCAGGCAGAGTATTCTGTGTTTCATTTTGGATCTTTTTCTTCCTTTTTGTTAAGAAAGAAACCAACCCCTTTAGAGGGAGCCTCTGCAACCAGTTTCATCTGTGCCCCAGAAGAGGGCTTTTTCCCTTTGATTTGCCCACAGCTGGCAAGTTTCCAACCCCAAAGCTTGGGGAGGAGGTGGCGTGCCGTGTTTGCTGGCACTGGGCAGATACTGGCCAGCTGGTCTGCAGCTCTGCAGCTCCTTCCCCCTTCCCCTGCTCCTCCTGCAGCTGTGTTTGTTTCTCATTCTCCCGTGTCCTTACTTTACTTTTTCCCCCTGGATGCTGGGCGTTATGCTTGGCAGAGCCCAGCCAGACCATGGCCAAGGAAAAGCCATTAGGCTCTTGGCACAGTCCGCTTCCCTGGGGCCATGCAGGGGGGAGAGAGCTGGAGCTGAAACACAGCCTGGAGCCTTACTGCTCAGAGGAAGAGCCCATTGGAGGTCCTGCACTGCTCACTCCCACAAAGTTAGCTTTCCTCCCATGCAGAGCCCTTGTAGAGGTCTGAGCACAAGGCAGAGCCAGCTGCTCCCCTCTGGCTGGGGGCTGCTGGTGTGGTATCTCCCACAGCTATGCTTTGCTGCTTACTGCAGCCCCTGCATTCCCCCCAAAACCAGCCATGAGCCACTGGTACTCCAGCCCTGCTTGGCTCTCTGGGAGCTGTGGAGGAGCATGGATTTTCCCACCTTCACTGCAAAGCATCACCCAGCCTGGAGCAGCTGAGACATGCTGGGGACATGCTGAGGACAGGAAGGGGATGGTGCTGCAGATGAGTTGGAATTAAATCTGCCAGGGAGGCAGTTTAAATAAAATTAGGAGGGGCTGCCTGGAATTCATTGCGTGGTACCTTTTAGGGCTCTTAGTTATCCCTGTCTCTTAAAGATACTGTCAGTGGGCTGATCTGGCTCCTGTTCAGCTTCCTTCTACTCTCTCCCAGCCTCCACTCCTGCCTCACTGAAAACCTCCCAACAATAAAAAAAAAAAACATTAATTATGGCAGTGATTTGGTCCTTGTTGCCCTGGGGTTGTTCTCGGCATGGGGCCCAGGCTGTTTTCAGCATGTGTTGTCTTGCCCGGGGTAATTGGAGATGGTGTCTGGTACTCAGCGTGCGGCACCTGGCACGTCACAGTTGGGCAACGAGGGGCTGGGGGAGACAGCAAATGGATGACACGCTGTCCCTTGATTCAGAGGTTTTTCTGACACTATTTATATCCTCTTCGTTTGCAGAGATGAGTGTTCTGGGAGTCGGCGGAAGTGGGAACTCTCCTAACAATCCCTTTTTCCTCTGCTGAGAGACCCAGACTTACTTCCTTCCCACTCCTCTGCGAAAAGCTGTAGAGAAAACAGGGCACGATGTACACCTTCCTGCCCGAGAACTTCACACCTGTGAAGCAGAAGCCCTCCAAGGAGCTGAGGCCCATGCTCGGGGCCATCTTGCTGGGCCTCATGCTGTTCATCGCCGCAGTGGTGGCCTGGTGCTACTACACGGTGTCCCTGCGGAAGGCGGAGCGGCTCAAGACGGAGCTGATGGACCTGCGGGCGGATGGCTTCGTCATCAGGAACCAGCACGGGGAGGTGGTGTTCCGGCTGGCCTTCCGCTCGGGCAGCCTGGACCTGGAGTCGTGCTCCAAGGAGGGCGAGATCCTGAGCTGCACGCGGTCCAGCCGGGGGCCGCTCAACTTCTTCATCCAGACGGTGAAGCCCAAGGACACGGTGATGTGCTACCGCGTGCGC